AAAGTATGTGCGGAATAAACGCCTCCGTTTTCTCAATTGGCCTTATTCTCTAGTATATTATCGTCATTTTTTGGCATGCAACTTTCACATTTGTTATAAATACTGAGGTTTACTGTTCATCTAATCTAAGACCTGGGAACATAAATATCCATTTGTAACCTATTGCTGAATTCTGGGAGCATCAGTTATTGAATAAAATAAATTCTTCTTTCGTCCCCCTGGGACTTGGGTTTAAGGCCTTCAGAGGGAAATATTTGATGTGTTCTTTGCCACAATATATTTTGCCTTCTCCCATAATCAGGCTGCTTCACTTGCAGTATGTATGGACTCTTCATCTTCATTTATTCAGTGTCCCTGAGGTTAACAAAAGCATGACAGTGTTACACTGCCCTAAAAACTGCAATAATCTTGTAGCATTTTGGACTGTCCTTTTATGTGGCTTTCTGAATTTCTCAACACTCTTCTTTGGAGGAAAAGAAAATATGCTTAAGTTTTTGGGGGTGGGGGGGTTGGGGAGAAGGAAGGAGATAAGGATGGACTTACGTGCCTGCTTAAAATCAAAGGTGACCTGAGATACTTTGCTGAATCGTAACCTTAGTTCTAATTATTATTGTTCTAATTATTATTACTAATGATTATTATTATAGTTCTAATTATTATTACTATAGTTCTAATTATTATAGTTCTAATTATTATTACTAACAACCATATTATTTTATCATCCTGTTATCAATGTTGTCCTTCAAGGCTCCAGCTTCTGGAGTCACGTGATTATGCGAGACTCCTTTTTTTATCTGAGTGCAGAGAAGAGCTTCAAATGAGCCCAGATGATGACACAGTGCTAGTACAGATTTTACTGGTTATTTATTTTTAAATCTCACAGCGTTTGGCTACCTGATCGTCTTTTCTTGTTAACAAAGGTTGCAAGCTCCGGAGGCTCAGGTGCCATCTGTCCTGTGCTGGTACAAATCCCTAGCACAGTAGCATAGCTGGAGCATCTAGTTGCTACTGTCCCATTAAGTGATGGTTCACAGAAATGCTTGAATCCCTCTCCCCATTTGTTTTTGCTTTTGCATGCACAAGACTGCATCAAACTTTATTTCAGTTTTAAAATTGCATGAAGGCCAAATGTTTTCCTTGTCTTTATCTCCTGTACAATTTACCATCCTTTCAGACTGTGATGAGAGGGTTGTGGATGCCTACGTTATGTAGTGCTGGGTATTCACGCTATAGCAGAGCCCCTCTGCTGAAAGCCACCAGCTAATGCCGGGCATCTGCCCGAGAGGCATTGGACTGATGAAGACAACTGTTGGTGATGAGTGACCAAGGGCACATTTAAACGGGTAGCCAACGGGGGCTTTGTTTGGGATCTGGTCCTAATGTACTTGAAAATAAGGGAATAAGTGCTGATTTTCTTTTGCAGCACTTGTTCATCCATTGGACAAAGCGCTTCTCCTTTCCGGTTCCCCTCTTCTGCTTTGCTGAGATTGCAGGGTGTTTAGGTGGGGACCGTCTCTGGGTCCCCGCCAGGGCGGGAGAACAACAAAAGAACCCTAAACAAATGTTTTCCTTGTCTTTATCTCCTGTACAATTTACCATCCTTTCAGACTGTGATGAGAGGGTTGTGGATGCCTACGTTATGTAGTGCTGGGTATTCACGCTATAGCAGAGCCCCTCTGCTGAAAGCCACCAGCTAATGCCGGGCATCTGCCCGAGAGGCATTGGACTGATGAAGACAACTGTTGGTGATGAGTGACCAAGGGCACATTTAAACGGGTAGCCAACGGGGGCTTTGTTTGGGATCTGGTCCTAATGTACTTGAAAATAAGGGAATAAGTGCTGATTTTCTTTTGCAGCACTTGTTCATCCATTGGACAAAGCGCTTCTCCTTTCCGGTTCCCCTCTTCTGCTTTGCTGAGATTGCAGGGTGTTTAGGTGGGGACCGTCTCTGGGTGTACAGTGCACAATCTTGACTGAGGTCTGTTAGGGCTATTATAACAGAGGGAGACTAGGAACATAATATAGGAATATAGGAGAGTAGGAACAGAGTATTACATAGGAAGCCTTGCATTGAATCCCCGCAGCGTTGCGTTAAACCTGCTGTTGGGGATATCTTTGCCATCCCTTCTCCCCTCCCCACTGCCAGATCAAAAAGTGCGTTTAGTAGCACTTTAAACATTGCCACTCAATACTTGAGGACCAAATAACCCTTTGCTTCAAAGGCTGCTTTTTGGATACCCTGTTGATCCCCAGAAAGGTTGGAGAGACGAGCTCGTGGCATGTTATAACAACAGGAGCGCAGAAGCTTTCTCTTATCCACCCGCGAGGCATGAACTAGCCCGATGACTTGCATCGAATAACCACGAGATGAACCCGATGTAGTGCTCTTTCCCATTTCTCGTATCAATCCAGTGGGAAATACGTTGATGCTGCCGGCGTGGATCCCCCCTGAGCTTATTCCCTTCCTTGTGGTGTCATGAAATCCATGTCTTTTTGTCATTCACACTGGTTTTTATGGGTTTTTTTTTTAATTTTAAGTGAGGTCTGTGATTTGGCAGCTTGAGTTCGTGAACAGACTGGGCTTAAAAAAATGGCAGAGTTTCAAAATATTGTATTTTGCTTAAGAAAAGGAAAGGAAAATAAACTCCCCGTGTGCGGACTGGCAGAAGGCAGGAAGGCGTTTCATATTGATTTGCCTTCGGTATTTTGCCACCGTCTTCTGCCGCTGATCCTGCTTGTGAACCCCGATGAGATTAAATTCTTTACAGTCTGCTCTGGTTCATGTTCAAATTGTGTGGATTTCCACTGGGTCAGTCACCGCCTGCCGGGAACGGCCGGAGATGGTGGCATGCACCGCGTGGCTTGTGCAGGAGAACGAATATAGGAAAAGCAACAAAACTGGGAAAAATCTGCAGCTGTTTTGTGTTTTCCTTTTATTTTTTTTAAATTGTTTTTGGTTTTCTAGACCTTTTGTAAGAGCTTTAGTGGGTAGGGGTGTCGAAATGAAGACAGGCTGGCACACCAAGAGAGAACATGCAGGGTTATGGGTCAGGTGCAAATGCTGGCTCCAGTTCCTTGAGCAAGTCGCTTAGTCTGTCTGTGCCTCAGTTTCCCAACTGTGAAATGGGGGCGGGTGATTCCTTCTTTCTCACACCCATATGTCTTGTCTGTTTAGATCTGGATTGAGGCAGGGATTGCTTCTTAATATGGTGGTGCTGATGGATGTTAATCCATCTGCCAGGCTCAGCAGAAGAAGGGATCACAGTAAAAACAGCTGTGGATGGAGAGGGATGCTACTGCTGAGGCATTATTATGACTCTCAGCAGCGGGCATGAGGTTTAGCCCAAGTACCAGGGGCTTGGGTGCATGTTGCAGGCCATGTGTGTGGGAGGCAGAAAGCCAGAAGGAGGAACCGTAAGCATGACCCTGAGATGCAGGCCAAGTTTCTTGGGCATAGGGTTTGCCGGGGGGGGGTACATGCATGGATTTCTAAGCAGGGAGGCGCTCTCCTGCTCATAATGTATGGAGAGAAACTGGAGTCTGTTTGCATTTTTTTTTGTAAATAAGAAGATTGCACCCCAAAATATATCTGCTCCTGTCACCAAGTTATCATCTCGATCTCAGCTGGGGCTTTTGTGATATCATTGAGAAAATGACCCAAAAATATAATGGCCAGGTGACCTCAGCTCCCGTAAATATTGCAACTCCTTGTCTATATACATTTTCTTGTTGGAGCATCGCATGCCTCCTTGCAGCGGAGAACATGCTTTCTTCGCATGCACGTTATGGCTCTGTATGGTTTTCTAATAATAACAAAAAAAAAGAGCACGTGCAATCCCGTCATTTCCAGTAAGTGCTTTTCCCCTGAGGTGTCAGCTGTATTGTCACAGCCTGTTCCAGGCTGGAATAGCCTTTTGCCAAACCGAGCAAGCTCGATCTTGTCTTTTGCAACAGGCAAGAGAAAGAGCTGCAATTAAAGTTGACTAATGACTTCAGCAGGATGGTGTTCGGTTCAGGTCAGTTCACGTTCAGTTTGCATTTTAACCCAGCGCCCTCTAGAGCTCTGCGTTTCCCAGACGAGTTTAGGCTCGAACGTGACGGCAAAGGGTGTCATAGAAAAACAAACCCTGACATGCCCACGGAAAAGCTTGCCGAGAACAGGGAGAGAAACGGATGCTTGCAGAAACACGGTAATTGCTGCAAATTGTTAGGTTCAAATGGTAAAGTCTAAATAAGTTGTTTGTGCCTTTTTGGGGGGGGGGACCAGGTATTTTCTAACACACCCAAACAGCCTCTGTATGCTTGCCTTGGGATTTTGCTGACATGCTGTATGTTCTCACATGATTTTATCCCCGAATCCAGAGCACTGCGTCACGGGAGACGTATCGCCGCGAACGAGCCGCTTGCATTGCCCTGTTCCACCTGGCTCTTCGCCTTTTGGCGAGGACCCCCATTTATACCTGAGCTCGAGGACTGTTTGACCCGATTGAGAACTTGTTTCTAATCCAGTTCAGGTTAACGCAGTGTAAGGAGGAAAGCGTGGCCTGCAGATGCGAACCGAGACAAATAGCCTTTTGAGCTGAATTTTGCTCCCGCTGTTCTGGGTTTTCCTAAGTACGTGGAGCACAGTTGACCCTGCTCCAAGCCAGAACAAAACCTGGTCCTGTGCGTTCAAAGTCAGTTTAGGCAGCGTGCCGTAGGACTTGTGCAAAGGGACACGGCGCTCTCCCGCAGGCTTCGTGGCCTGAGCTGCTGCCTGCGCTGAGTGCCAGGACCGTAGGCTTTCCACGCGGCTCACCAGACAAAGAAACTTTATGTTTTGAACTCTGGGCCCTGAATCTGCATCACCAGACTGGGCTGGCATTTCAGGGAAATAAGGTCAACCACTGTAGACGAGCTTCATTTTGCAACGTGTAAGTGAAGAGAGAGTGAGAAAAAAAAAACCAACCATAAAAAATGAAAGTTTCTGGCTCTGCTATTGCCTCTCTCTTGTTTCACAGGCAAGAAGAGAAACCCGGGGCTGAAAATTCCTAAAGAAGCATTTGAGCAACCACAGACAAGCTCCACGTAAGTCTCCAAACACGGAGGGAGAACAAAAATAAAACCACTAACCCCAGCTGCTTTCCAAAGATGCATAGCCATCTGCCTTCCCCCAGGCGCTCAGGAGCAGGGAGCTCTGCCTTCGGCGTCCTCTCGCACAGCCACGGCGTGAAGGGAGCTCCCGGCCGTTGCGCTGGACATCTGGGAGCGCTGAGTTTAGGCAGGGGTGGGCAAAGGAGCAGCAGAAAAATCTGCTTTAAGTGTATTTGGGGACTTTAGGAAATGATATAACATAAAGCCAAGTGTTATAAAGGGGAGAGGGGGGTTGGTTGTAGCCATTTCTCCATTTCTCAGGGGTGTAGGTTGTAGCCGTGTTGGTCTAAGGACAAAGGCAGACAAGGTTAAATCCAGTATCTTTTATCAGACCAACTCAAATAGCTGGAAAAATTCTTCTTTGCAAGCTTTCGGGTACCAATACCTTTTGTTAGCCTGACGAAGGGTTTTTGAACCCGAAAGCTTGCTTAATAACTATTCTCCAACCATTTGGGTTGGTCTAATAAAAGATATCAAATTCACCCAAGGAACCTTGTCTGCCTATATCCTTAGACCCACACGGCTACAACCCAAACCCCTGCAGATGGTCTGTGCTCTTCCTGGATGGGCTAATAAAGCAGCCAGATGCCAGTATGTATTTTAATTGACTGACTTTCTTGCATACATCCTGGCCTCCAGCTGCTTTACTGCGCCATCCAGGAAGAGCGCAGACCACCTGCAGACGCTTCCTCAACCTGATGAAGGCTATTTGTACCCAAAAGCTTGCAAAGAAGAAGTCCTCCACTTCTGTCACTGTCCTTCTTGGAGCTGTGGACATCGTTCTGGTTCCCCGCACCCCTTTGACCATCACTGCCGTTTCCCTGCTGTGTGGTCCTCTCCCTCAGTCAAGGGCCCATTTAAATTTCCAGTTTCAGATATCAAATAAACTCCTTGAATTCCTTGTTGAATCACTAGGCACACTGACCCTAGGGTTCCCCGCTCATTGTCCTGTTCCTTGTTCTTTTTACCCTCTAATCTGCACCAATTTGTTCTTTTTGGTGTCTGTGTGGTTGATTTCTGGGCTCGGTGGGCCCCGTCTTTGCTTCAGGGAGTGGGTCTTGTGTTGGGATGATAAGCCCCCCTCAGCAAGTCCAAGTATGAAATAGGTGAGCTCCTGCCATAGTTTCCACTGGCTCCTTTATGTTGCCCAGTTGACTTCTCTTTGGTTATTCCCCTTCTTCTGTTGACATTTCTTCTCGTGTAGCCTCTTCCATTTCATGGTCATTGCTGCATCCCTGGTGAGGGCTTTGCCTGTCCTAGCCATCCGGCGCTGGAGGGAGGGAATCCAAAGTAAAGGGTTGCTTGACCCAAACTCTTTAGGGTTTACATTTTATGAAGGAAGCTGCGAGACGGTCATCTCACCTCTTGATGAATGCCCCCACGGAAAGCAGAGAGCAAAAGGAGTTCACTGCAGGAACCCCACAGAGATGGTATTAGCACTGAAACACTAAATGGCAACAGGGGGTCTTTTGAGAAACCAGAAGCAAACCCATTAGAAGCAAACCAGTTTGCTTCTAGCTGCAGCTCAGTCAGTGGAAGAGAGGGGCAGAGCTCAAACCCACCAGTGAAGGCAGTGATGTAGATCTCCATTGTTAAATAGTGAAGAAAACCACTTGCCTGGCTCATCCCAGGAGCTCTGGATTTGCAAGAAGGTGTTGAAAAGGGTTTAACCTGCTCAGCCAGGCCTGACTGCAGGGCTGTTCCCAGCCAGCAGCAATTGTTGGGTAGATGAGACCTTGTGCATCTCATGGAGGGATGGAGTTGTGCAAAGTCTTCTGCTCAGCGGGGTCACAGGTTGGCAGCAGGACCGGTGTCTCTGCTTGCCAGGGTTGTAGGGACGACTCACTGGTCAGGCAGGGGGAGGGAATAAAAGGAGACGAGATACAGCATTAAAATGGTGAGAGTAATGAAGACTCCACAGATTCAACCTTTTCTTGAGCCTGCCCTTCATCTTCACAAACTGAGTAGGCAACAGTGTGCATGGGAGAGAGAGTACATAGGATTTCAGGGCAGTTGTGCAGAATTTGCTATATCCAGGCTCATTTACCTACAGGACGAATCCGTTTTAGATCCCCACTTCCAGTGGCCCAACTCTTTGGTGTTGTCTCGTACTTAGATGACAGTGCAGCAATCCTTTTGGGTTGGAAAAAGCAGGGCACTTTTTCAAGGCAACCGCCGGGAAAGTTGCAGAAGTTATCATAGATCAAGGGACATGAAGCAGAACCCTCTCGTGAAGAGCTTATCAAGCCAGCTAAGTGGGTTTCTCCACTAGCAGAGAACACCACTTTGCAATAGTGGCTCTCAAGATGCTTTTACTTCATTTGTGATCAACCCATGAACTTCTTGAAATATTGAAGGAGTTTTGTGTGCGCTTATGACCATGCCCTGAATAGTTCCTGCCTTGCTCGCTGGGTTGGGAGCATGCTGAATCAGGCACATCCATTGCCACTGCGGCACTGCCAGTCTGGAAGGGAGAAGATGCCGACTTGTAAAGGGGCAATCTACTTTGCTTCTTTAAATGGCTCCGCCAATGCAAATACAAACACATTCCTGCCTATTAGGAAAAAGAGCAGAGCAGAATTTTCCCAGCCACATTATGATGACCTTTACTAATTGAATTCATTGGCTTTATCCCAATGGTTTGCTTCACCCTGGAGCTATGTAGATCTGCCTTCCCTGATGGGTCTGAACTCTGCCTCGGTGCCCCGCTGACCTGACCCACGCGGGTGGCACGGGCCTTTCTGGTTTGGAGCAAATTGTTTTTTTTCAAACAACGTCTCAACTTCTCATTGCCGTTTGGTGTGTCCATATCACGACGTCTCTGTAGGGCTTCGTTGCAGTGCATATCTCCCTGCTTTCTTTGGGGATTTCCTTCACAATCCACGAGGTGTGAGGACACTCACTCATCTTCCCTTGGGATGCTTCAGCTAGAAAGATCCTGGGTTAAGCAACCCTGTCCTCCTGCTCCTTCACTCTGGTGCCAGATTAACCCAATGCCCCGGTAGTTTTGCTTTAATGTGCCCTTTTGTTGCACATCTCCATGACAAGGAAAATGAAAGGGTGAAGGGAATGATTTTAGCCCATGGGGCTGCCTCTCTTGCAGGTTTGGAATAAGCTGATTTAAAATAAGGAAACAAATACATAAAACCCCTTAGCTTAATAACTATTCTCCAACCATTTGGGTTGGTCTAATAAAAGTTATCAAATTCACCCAAGGAACCTTGTCTGCCTATGTCCTTAGACCAACACGGCTACAACCCAAACCCCTAAAACCCCTTAGGAAACAGGTCTGTGCTATTAGGATGTCATTTGCTGCATAAGGCAAACCCTGCGTTTGCTTGTTAGCCTCCTTAATGATTAATTTTGATCATTGAAGCAATTACCTCCCATCCGTCTTGCCTAACTTGGCTACCTGGTTATGTTGGCAGGTGAAACAGTAATATAGGTTTAGGTTTCACTGAGGATAACCCTCATTTTCCTTTACGGATCGATTAGGAACACCTGCACCCATAGGATCACTCTTTCTCCCTGGAGCTCTCCAGGGACTTACTTGGATCAGGAGACATGAGAGTCCACCATCTATTAAGATGCTTTGGCTGCTCCTGGTGTAATAATTTTGTGATGCTGATGACTTTCCAGAAACAATTTAATTAAAAAGCCCCAGCTCTTGTGAAAGGCTGAGTTTTTGTCTCTTAAGAGCTGAATTCAGCTGTGTGAACAATAGGACTGCCATTTTATTGCTGTGAAGTAAGAGCCTGCCCAGCCAGGTAGCACATCGCATAGGCCACAGGTGTAAAATGAGGGCACTCAAAGCCTTGATTTGCTAGGGTAATGCACCTGGGGCCTTCAAGCCAATTTAAAAAGCCGGGCCTCTTGGCTGTCAAGTGTGTGAGCAGCGATCCTCCATGGCTTGCAGTGCCAGCAATGAGGTGCTCGCTGGGAGAGATTTGCCTTGGGGTAGATAGATCTGACACCTCACCTTCTCCTGGAGGAGGAAGACGATTTCCTGGGAAGCTGAGCACATCTTAGCTGTTTTTGGAAAGGATTCGTGGAAAGATCTCTGGACAGCGTAGACTTCAGAGACTGAGATGCTGAGTGAGGTTTCCCTTTTAGACGTCTCCGTTCGTATTGCTGCTGCCCTGTGGATTCCTGTATGGAGCGACGTGTTCCCTTCTCAGGCTGGCATGATAGTTCGCTTTGCTGAGGGATCGTTTTAGGGCAGGCGGGAAGACAGGTGACCCTACATGCTGCTGGATGCAGGCGCTGGGAGCGATGTGAAGGGGATAACAGGATGGGTAGCCTTTCTGCCTGGAGTCAGGTACTAAAGTAGTTAGGCTAGCCATCCTAAGTTGCATGCCCCAAGGCCAGGGTTAAGTGATATGGTCCCTAAGTCGCAGTATCCTAGTTATGTGCACTAAGGGCTACAGCAAGAAGAAAGCAGAATGTGAAAGATCTTCTTCGCCCCTTTGAAGCCAGGGGTGGAAAAAGTTCATTAGAAAACAGATAGACACACATCTCTATAGCCTGTTAGAAACGGCGCTGAAACCAAGCACCAGGGGCCAAGCTCCTTCTTTCATCCCTGGGTGAGCTAGGTCTTGGACCCTTCTGTAGAGAGAGCAGACAGCAGACTCGGGCTGGATCTCTGCGCAGTTTGATCTACCCAGGAAAGGAGATTAACTCTCCCTCCCTCTCTTTCTTTCTGCTGGGATTGGGCACCCTCCCAGCCCATCAAAGGAGATCATCTCTCCGAATTCCTTACTATGGGAGTTGGACAAAGACTTGTGAAATTCCAGCTCCGGCAGCATCCTTCCTGACCCCTTTTGGGATGAGTTTGTGAGCCTTGGCAAGGTCTAGCCTCGCGGTGAGGCTAGGAAGCCACTGATACTTCTCAGCACGATGCTGAGCATCCGTGGCTTGAGGCCGCTGTGCTACCAGCCTAAGGGGGATTCATGCCCTGGCCTCCCTTAGTATTGTCGACCATCTCCATCTGGGTTGTGATCCGACATGCTTGGTCCTCTGGGATAGCAGCAGTTGTGCGGTCTCGGGAACTGATGCTTACCTTTTGTTTTTCTTTTCTCTCTCTCCCATAGGCCACCTAGAGATTTAGACTCCAAAGCCTGCATCTCTATTGGGGAGAAGGTAAGGTTATAAGTTTGGTCTACTGGGCTGTATTAGATGTGTAAACCCAGGCCCAGGTGACAAATTAGGGTCCAGCTGATTTTACAAACCTGATTTGAGTGGGTTACAACCTGAGGGAACATGAGATCAGGGTCAAGGGAGGGCAACTTGGCCATTTTCTCTTATTTTCTGTCAGCCACCCCCAAGTCGCTTCGTTTCCCAGCTTCCTTTATGTTTTATCCACGGATTCCCTTGTTGCCAAACAAGTCATGCATTTGAGCTTCATGCCTTGCATTCATTTCACTTTTTATGGCAAAAGAGTTTGCATTTGGTGCATAGAAATAACAAAAGAAAATTGTATCCAGTAATTATGAATATATCACATGTTTCTATCTATTTGACAGTAAGTAGCTCCAACTGGAGCAGAACATTTAGGGTACTAGATAAAAATCTATGTGTGTGTGTGTGTGTTTGCAAGCTTCCATATCTGTTGGATACTAGAGAATACATGAGAGTGTTTGCAAGTTTCCACATCTGTGAATAACTTTGTGGAAAATGTATTACACTTTTCATTTTACATATACACACAAATTGTATGTAGGCGAGTATGTATATAAGAAAGCTTCAATTCTGCCAGAAATTTGACAGCCACCAGAAAATGGATTTCAGGCCCCATTGGGATTGTAACATTAAGGTAGAGAATGGAGTGGGTCCAGGATTGTGGCTATTGCCTTAAACGCACGCATATCTAGCTGACAAAAGGAAAATAAGGGCTCCTGTGTACAAGCACGAAGGCTGCCCCAATGGGTTGTAATTATGGCATGTCAGAGCAGACTTGATTAATTGAGTCTGCGGGAGTGCGGTAATGACCATGCTCCAGCAGACGCCAGTGTCACGTGTATCAGCGTCCCTGCACTGAAAAGTGGTAGTGGGGTACTTTAAACTAAAGTTTGAACAAGTGTTAGTTCAAAGTGCTTTACCACCGTCTTTCAGTGCAGGGATGCTGAGACATGTGATGCTCCAGGTGCTTTAATTAGCACGGTTCTCAGAGTTGCGCTAATTAAAGCATCCCCCGCCTCCCGGAGCACGTCTATAAGATTGTGAGTTCTTTGGGGGCAGAGACTATTGTCCTGCTCCGTTCTGTGTCTGCACAGCATCTGGTGTTGTGGGTCCCGGGGCCGTGACTTCTGGGCACTACAGCAAGGCAAATAATAATGCCTTGGCTTCTGGGTGCTACAGCAAGGCTAATAATATAATAATAATAATAATAATGGCTATTAATTACAACCACAATAAGAATAGTAGCATCACAAACCAGGCCATGCATTTACACTAGCTACAGGTTCTGGTATTTGTAAAGCAGGAGGCCACAAGCTAAACGGTCCCAAACATCCTCACCCACCTGAACTATTTGTATTCTTGCGGCTGCAGTCTTGCACAGGGGTTATATCTTGTCTCGGTGCCATTTGGACTCCTTTACCTATTGCCTCACCCCCCTCAATGCACACAGATAGAGATGTGCTTTGGAGGCTGACTTAATCAGGTGGCAGCCAGCAGGCTCCCAGTCCCCAGACAGCAGGATCCCAGTAGGAGTGAGTTTTCTTGACCCAGTGCCCTTCTACCCGGCGTACACGGCTGTAGCTGCCATTCGTATCTCCCTTGCACTGTTTCTCAGGTAGTCCTGTACTGTATAGAGAGGTGTTAGCCCCCTCTCATCAACCTGCCTAATTGGGTGGGGGAAGGAGATAAGGGATCATGTAATGGTTCTTTTGCATGAATTTAAACATCCCATCTTAAAAAGCAGATGGGTTGGAGCTCGCTGAGAAACTGCATCCTCACGCTCCTCCCATCCGGAAGGCAGCAGCACTGCACAGCCAGCCCAGGGGAACATGAGAGCAGGAGGCCTTCACAATAAAGCAAGCCTTCCTGGTGCAAATGCCGGCACAGCGATTCCTCCTTTGTTTCTCCAAGGAATGACCCGGATTAGCGAGCGTGGCCCTGTTTCCCTTTGTGACACTCACAGCTTTGTTAAACCCTTGCCCGGCTCTTACATAACGGCCCTGACATCGCACACTTAACGTTATTAATAGTAACATGTAGTCAGGGTCAAGATGCTGATTGCTAAGCTCTGGGTTATGTTAATGGCTTTCTCCCGCTTCGTTCCAAATATGAATTTCTCCCCCAACCAGGAGAAATAAATGCTAACAGGACCCAGCCTCTGAAGTTTACTTTGAATCGTGGGTGTGAATGTTAGCCATTTCCAAATGCTGGAGTATCCCCTGGAGTTTATTCGTATCGCCCACTTGGCTTTCAGCCATCGGTTGGTGTCATCGGCATGAAAACAGAGACATCCCCCAGCTGAAGAGTTCGTGGAGTTAATGCTTGTTGGCTGGAGTCCCTTAGTGCACAGAGCTGCTTAGCTTACCCGGGCAGAGAGACCATCCCTGTACAATGGGTATGTAGTTGATACAGGGTCCTGGAGGTCTCCCGAATCGGATGAAGACTGATGGCTTTTTTTTCCCCCACTCCAAATCTTTTTTTTTTGTTTTGTTTGGAACTCCTGTTTCAACAGTAACGTATCGTCTTAAGTCTGACAGCCCCCAAAGCATTGAGAATGACCCCTCCAGGCACTCAAGTTCAGTGTCCCTTTGCACAGCGTCTGCTCCGCTAACCAGCAGGGATCCTGGTTTTCTCTGAGAAAAAAATCCAAATTTTTGTGATTTTTATGTATATCTATAGCTATCAATATATTGATATAGATATGTATATAGATATATCTATAGCTATAAATAGCTATGTATATAGATATCTAAATATCTAGGGATAGATAGATAGATAGATAGATAAAAATCAGAAAATTTTGGAATTTTTTATCAGAGAAAGCCAGAATCCCTGCTGGTTAGCATATATAGAGATGTATATCTCTATATATAGATCTCTCTCTCTATCTATATCTAGATAGATAGATATCTATCTATCTATCTATCTATCTATATATATATATATATATACACACACATATACATACACACACACACACATTATATATAGATATCTATTTCTATATATATATATATATATATACACACACACACACGTTATATATAGATATCTATATTTCTAGATATATATATACACACACACAAAGAGAGAGAATAGCATTTTGTTTTAATCATGAAAAAATGTGGATTTTGAGGGGTTTTTTAAATCGGAAAATTTTGGATTTTTTTTTAAATCGGAGAAAACCAGGGTCTTTGCTAACCAGGCAGGACTGCTGCCAGACTTTGCTTGGGATGCTGAGCCTTGTGGAGTAAAAGGACTAGGTTTTCCAATAGGAATCACTGCATGCCTGGGCAGAATAACAGGCCTCTTCATTCGGTTTTGGTTTGGGGTGCAGCTGCCAAAGTGTAAGTGTCCTTGTGTCCCTTCCAGATCTTCATTTGACAGCTTCAGGTTCCCTTTCCACCTTCCTGCCGTACAGCCACTAAGGAGGACCAGATGTGCTCTGTTTTGTCAGGGGCTGTGAAGCCTGGTACCCTGTAATCTCAGGCAGAAGGCAGGGTAGATTTGCACCTTTATAGACTAACTCATCAGAGGTAGAGCATAAGCTTTCGGAGGCAGAGGGCTTCCCTGCGGTCTCTTTATGGACCTCTCGACGACTGAGCATTTAACGACACACCCAGCAACCGTTGGCCCCAAAGCGGCACGTCGGGGAACGGTCATCCAATGTGTACTGGTACTGAGATGGGAAACTATACAACTTGTTTCAAGGCTTTTGGAAACCTCCCTTTCACCTGGGGAACAGCCCGTTTCTCTGTGGGAGGGGTACCGAATGCCATGCTTCTACTCTTCTCTCTTTTCTGGGCCTCCCTTTGAATATTGACTTGTTTGCTGAGAAGAAAGTCCTAGCTCCAGCTGAGGTGTGAACATCCCCTGCTTCTTGCTAAGACTGTTAGCTTCAAAGCCTAGTTGTCGCTCGTTTGTGTTGACAGCTTGCCCAAATGCCTGCCTTGTTCATGCAAGGACACCTGGGTCCTCTTTTGCTTTTCACTGGGTTGGGAAAGCTAGAGGACGAGGAGGTTGAACACCCACCTGAGAAAATCAAAGCCAGTTCAGTAGCCTCAAAGAACTTGCTGGATTAAGGCGTGGATTCGTAACCAGGATGGACGAAGGGTTGCACACAGGTTGCTCTTCCCTTCCTTTGCATGGTAAAAGAGCATCCCACATCTTTTTGTCTGAGCAGCTTAGATTCACTGCACAACAGCATTAAAAATGGTGTGTATATGTGTACCCATGCACGTGCATGGCTGCAGTCAGAATCAAGCCTGGGTTTTCTTTGGAAAAGAAACATCTCTTCCCCAATTTGATTTTAATATTATTAATAGAAATCACGAGAAAACACTGGGGTGTCTAAAGGATTTTGGAAACCTTAGCTATGGGAGTCACAACTAATCCCCTTGGAGAATCAGCTCGTACACCAGTTGGAAGTTCAGCCACGGCGTTTATCCCCGGTTCAGTTCTGGGTGACCCGGACTTAAACCCTGCGTCTCGGACATTATCTTCTTCCAACACTGGGGGCTTTTTCCTACCATATATTCATTTGACCATGATCTGAACCCAGTGCAGGTCATCCTGTCCTGAAATCGGATTCTTAGGAAAGCATGCCTGGAATCCAGGATGATTTGGCACTTTTCATTTTACTGGCAAAACGAGATTTTGATGGGAGAAAAATGCCATTCCAGCACTAGTCCAATGAAGCAGGGCAAGACATGTCAGGTGGTTAATTTATTAGGTGATGTATTAATTCATTAGCATTTTACAATGTCTATCTTTGGATGCTTTTCTTTCATTTGAATTTTTATTTTCCCTGGCGTAGAGCCGGGGCTG